CGGGGCAGAATGAACGTGATAGACCACGTGAGGGACATGGCGGCCAGGGGGCTGCACTCCAACGTGCGGCTCCTCAGCAGCTTGTTACTGACAATGAGTAATACGTGCGGCGGAGCTGTCCTCGGAGCGCACGTGGAGCGTGCGCGGTGCCGGCGTGTGCGGCCGCCGGGACGAGCTCCCTGCGCGGGATGCGGCGAGCGCGGCCGCGAGAATGGAAGGCGGAGGCTATGACGACCACTCCGGCGACGGTTTCCTGAGGCATCTGTTGCCGGGCTCCGCGACTGTCACATCGCTGGGCTGAATCCTCCCCTCTCGGCTGTTGCCCGAAGAACGTGGAGCGTGCGCGGTGCCGGCGTGTGCGGCCGCCGGGACGAGCTCCCTGCGCGGGATGCGGCGAGCGCGGCCGCGAGAATGGAAGGCGGAGGCTATGACGACCACTCCGGCGACGGTTTCCTGAGGCATCTGTTGCCGGGCTCCGCGACTGTCACATCGCTGGGCTGAATCCTCCCCTCTCGGCTGTTGCCCGAAGAACGTTTGCTCCCTCGTTGCAGCTCAGAGCGACTGAGCCCCTTGGTTTTTATACCTTGGTCCCACGTTTGAGATTGATTTGGTTCCCGAGAGTGTCGAGAGGGTTCATTTCTTACCTCCACAAACCCTGAAAACCGGAGCGCCCCCTTGATGGGTGGGAGTGGCGCCCTTTAAAGGAATTGCAAGAGACGTAGGAGCGGTGCCGCCTTGTTTCCAGGGCTGCCGTTTATTAAGTCTTCAACAGATGAAGCACAGAGCGAAAACTACCCTGACTACAGGCCCCTTTTTGCTTGAAATCTTCCACTGGGCTTAAATGAAAATGCTCACCTGTGGCCTAGGAAGGCAAGCATCTGCTTCCTCCCTTTGTCACTAATCTCTATTCTGCTCAGCGTCCCCTAGCCTCCCTAGCTATTCTTTTTGTTACTTGAACGCTCATCCAACTTTAAGCCTTCGCACTTGTCCTGCTGCTTGGAGTCCTCATCTCAGCTCTGAGCTCAGCTTTCAGCCCTGAGCTCAGCTTTCAGCCCAGTTCTTCCGAGACAGCCCATCTCCGACTGCCAGAATTGTCCCATACTCCTAGTTTTCTATCCCAGTTTTATTTTTTGCATCACTCTTTTTTTTTTCTTTTTTTTTTTTTTTTAAGGAGAGGTTTTTGCTATAGGGGGCATGTGCTCCAGAAAGAAAGAAAGCGAGAAATCACCCCCCAGGGGGGATGGCCACTCTGCAATCCCCCAGGATCTTGGGTGCGTGCGCACCGGGTGTGACTTTAAGACACCAGGTCTGGGACTCGAACCATGGTCGGCTACATGGGAGTCCAGCAACATATCCATTACACTAACTCTTGGTCCCTATTTTTTGCATCACTCTTAACACCTGTCGAAGTCCGCAGGGTGCCTGGGTGCAAGTCAGCCCATCAGTGTGTCTATTGAATGTACTAAGTGCATAAGCTTCAGGGAGGTGAAATGCCTCATCCAAGTTCACACATCTTGTGCATGGAGGAGCTATGATGACACCTGAACCTTGGTCCTCTCTGACTCCAGAGTCTGCATCGTGACTCACTTCATTCTACTCTCTTCAAATACCATTAGAATGGAGTCTTCTACTCTGTAGGCCCTTGGGCGCCTTTGACCGCTCTTGAAGTTGGTCTAATAGGGAAGCTTAAGTACATGTGGTGCAGCTGCTGCTCCCTGTTGTATTTCCCTCAGCGTACTTTGAACCCATCATTTTGCTACCATCCACTTAGTGTTGACAGGGAGGAGCCCTGGTCTCTGTCAGCCTTCTCTATTTATTCTGGAGCCTTTCCCTTGATTCTTAGTTATTTGTCTAAGCATAGTTTCCACACCATTGGGGATTTATGCACCCACCAGTTAGTCATTTCTCTTGGGTTCTCAAAAATGTTACAGAATAATTGGAAGCAGTTTGATCCTCTGACTAGACTAGGCTGAGTTGGCTCATACTTTTTTTTTTTTTTTTTAAGGTTTTTGCTGTAGGGTGCAAGCTCTCACCAGAGAGACAGAGACTGAAAGGAAAGTGAGAAATCACCCCCCAGAGGGGATGGCCATGCTGCAGTCCATTCTCCTCCAGGGGTTTTGGACCTGCACACACATGTGCCCAGCATGATTTTTAAGCCTCCAGGTCCAGGACTTGAACTGTGGTTGACTGTATAGGAGTCCAAGTGCCCTAACCATCATGCCACCTGCTGGTCTCTGACTTATGCTTTTTTTACACTGGCAGTCTCCTAGCTTCAGGAGGCCTTCAAGTTCTGACCTTTATCATTTATTTATTAAGTTTTCTTACTATTGAGTTATTGGAAAAGTCACAGCATATTTTTCTATGTAAAAATGTGTCATGACTTTTTTGACAACCCAATACATAGACAATACATACACTTAAAGAAACTCAGATAGTATAAAAAGAATATGCAGATCATTATCTGATCCCTGAATCTTTTTTTAGAACTATTTATTTAATTTTATTAATTAATTTTTAAAAGAATTATTTAACTTTATTTACTTGCTTGTTTATTTAAATTTGATGAGAGAGGGAGAGTGAGAAAGCAAGCCACCAGGTCCAGGACTTGAACTGTGGTCGGCCATGTGGGAGTCCGGCACCCTTAACCATCATACTACCTGCTGGCCCCTCTTACTATTTTTTAATTTGCTGAAGGCCCCTGTGTTCACCAAAGACAGACAGAGAGGGAAAGTGAGAAAGTAAGCCATTAGAGAGAGAAAGGGAAAGTAAGAAAGCAGGCCACCAAGGGTCTGGGACTGGAACATTTGGGAGTCTAGAATCCCAACACCACCACCTGTTTGCCCGGCCCTGAGGTCTGACTCTTGAACTTCACATTTCCTTTCTCTAGAGGCAACTGTATCATTTCAGAGATAACTTATGTATGCATAAGCAGACATGTATGTTACAATATATAAATATCTGAACCTTTCTGCTTGTGTAGTAGTTTTCTTTATCCAAATACCAGATGTTTGCTTCTCACTAAATAGACAGAATCTCAGAGTTGGAAGAGATCTTAAATATTTTTTTTAAGAATTATTTATTTAATTTTATTATTATTAAACTTGCTACAGGACATGTGCACTCAGAGAGAGAGAGAGAGAGAGAGAGAGAGAGAGGGAAAGTAAGAAAGCAAGCTGCCAGGTCCAGGACTCGAACTATAATCAGGCATTTGGGAGTCCATCGTCTTAACCACCGTGCTTTCCTGCTGCCTTCTGAACTAAACCCTTTTAACTCTTTGAATTTCTTTTTTAACTTTATATCCAGTGTTTAGCCTACATATCCTATTTTTCAAAGATACAATTCATGAAATTCTTTTTTTTTTTTTTTTTAATTTGCCAGAAGGTACATGAGGTTGCCAGAGAAAGTGAGAAAGCAGTCCCATGGGGGATGGTCACATTGTAGTCCCTTCTCCACTTTGAGATTTGGGCATGCACATGCCTGTGTGTGTCCCAAGCCACTAGTGTGACTCAAACCACGTGGGGTCAAGCCACTTCATGGGCCACCACACTGCCAGCTGGCTTGCTCTTTCTGTTTTTTAGAGAGAGATTTTTGCTATAGGGTTCATGTGCTTGCCAGAGAGACAGAAAGTGAGAAATCATCCCCCTCCCCCCGGGGTGATGGCCACGTTGCAAACCCTTCTCCATTCTCTTCTCTGGATTTGGGGCATGCATGCACACACACCTGAGTTTCAAGCTGCCAGGTCCAGCACTCAAACCACGGTCAACTACGTGGGAGCCCAGTGATGTAACCATTATGCCGTCTGCTTGTCCCACTTTTTTTTATTTTAAAGGAATTATTTATTTTAATTTTATTTATTTTTATTGTATTTTAATTTGATCAGAGAGAGACCAAGACAGAGAGAGAAGGAACATTAGAAAGCAAGCCACCAATGGGCCAGCGGGTTTCATGTTGGTTAAAGGCAATGGACTCCCACATGACTGACCGTGGTTCAAGTCCTGGCCTTGGCGGGTTGCTTTCGTGCTTTCCCTCTCTTTGATCAAACTGGAAAATAATAATAATAAGTAAAGTTAAATAAAATATTTAAAAAAAAAAAAAAAA